GCCACGAGTGTTCTTGTACATTTGGAAGTGGAATGTCTGTGACCAAATGTTTGCAGGATTTGTGCTTGACAACGTAACAGAAATAATTAACACATGTATAATAGCCCGTTTATCCACTGTGGGGTTCTTCTAAATACACAACTTTTTTAATTTATATTTTCTAGGCAGCCATACTGAGTATTAAGCTGAAATTACAGCCAGATCAAGATGTGGAGAAGGTGAGTCATTTCCTCTGCAGGTTCCTCTGTCATCAGATCCACCTTTTGTTCAGCAGGACATCCATCATGCTGCCTTTCACTTGAGGCTTTACTTCATTCCCCAGAAGTACCTATTGCATTGATGATGCACCTTTCTTTACATCCAGGTTAGGCACAGAATGTATTTCGTTTGACCCCATTCCAGCCTCCTGCCCTGTGTTTCTGGCTGCAGCCTCTGTTACAACAAATCCTTGCTGTGTTCAGCACTAGGGTGGAGGTCAGTGCTTTTGCTGCACTGAAGCTTTGCTAATATTTGCTAAAACGTCAGAGCACTCTCATAGGCAGCACTGGTGGGCTAAGCAGGGGGTTGGGACTTGCTCACTGTGTCTGGGATGCAGGGAATGGGACAGTCCTCTGCTAGGATTTAGTCATGGACCTTCTCCGTGCCTTCCGTGGGCTCCGTGGGGATCAGAGGTCTTTTCTTATCCTAGATGTGCATCCCACTGCTGCTCCAGGATAAAGCCAATGTGGTGGAAGATTATGTGGGAGAATATCCTGAGCTCCAGAGCAAGCTCCTGCAGATCCTGGACTCGTGGTGTGAACCTGGTGTCAACATCAGAGACATCACAAGGTAGAAACACTTCTTATCTTTCTGAACAGCCAGGCCAAGGTGCTGCCAGAGCACAGTGTGTTCCCTGGTTGTCTGTCTGCAGTCGTGTCTCAGCGTAAGGCAGTGCAAAAGATTGACTTTGAGCTGAGGAAGGGGAAATTCTGGTGTCTGTGCCAGAGCCTTCTCAAACGCCCCGGCCCGCAGGACAGAGGAATTGTTGCTCTTGACAGATGCTCCGTTCCTGCCAGGAGCAGGAGTGCAGTGAAACCTGTGCAGCACATCCCAGTTACAGAGCAGTGTCAAAGGGAGGCTGGAGCAATCAGCCTCTTGTGCTCTGCTGCAGACAAGGGTGAGTTTCAGTATCGGTTGTACAGGTTTGGCAGGAAGATAATACTGTGATGAAGTGGCAGAAAAACAAGAGATGCAAGTGGTTAACCTTCATGTGCTTGTCAAATTGTGGTGTGTGTTTTAATTTCTGACTTGCCTCTCACTAGAATAACTCCTGCCAGTCACAGACCCAGCAGCACAGTCAGAGTCACGGTGTAGCTGCAATACTTGCAGTCTTAGCTCTGAAAGAGAAGGAATTGCTCACTTTCTTTAAAATGAACTTCTAGACTTGCTTCAGTCATTGACTGAAATTTGTGTGGTTGTACTGTTGGCTTTTTGATGTACCTTGTCCTTACCAACACCAGCAAACCCCAATCCCTCTGCTGTTAAATATCTGCTATTTGGAAAACATCCTTTAGGTGATGCCACAGGTATGTATTTCTGATGTTGTTACAGACCATATCAAGGCTTGTCCAGATACAAACCAGAAAAATTTAACCACAGAACACTCAGCAAGCTGGTCTTCAGGCTCCTGGACCGATTCCACGTAGATCCAGGTACAAGATATTGCAATATATTGTGGAGTTATGTCAGCAATAAAGAACACACAAAGTCAATTTGTCTTCTTCCATGTTCATCAAGGAATTTCTGCTGTCATTTATCTTGGGGAGTTTCAGTGTTTAATTAATGATCCTGAAAAACAAAGCTGGTAAGTTATGGGAATTATCACTTTGTGCTGTCTAAGAATGAAGTGCTGTTGACTAATAAGCTGTTTCTGCCATGATATGGAATAAATCCTGACCTCAGCATGGCTCTGCATAAACACACCATGGTCAGCTCTGAGTTATGACTCCATTCCTCTCACATAAGAGGCAAGTCATTATTCATTGGGGATCTGTTTTCTTGAGCTACGGGTCCGTCAGCTGGGAGGAGATAACCCTTTGGAAGCAGGAGCCTCAGAGCCCTTTGTATTCTTTGTATAAACTAGGGTTGGTGGTAGGGAATTTTAAGGCTCCTGCAGCCTTAGAAGTGGCACATTTTCTGTCACTGAACAGATATGCTTCACCTGCAGATATCAGTTACCTAACAAAATCTGCTTTGCTTTGGTTGCTGGCAGGGACTGTTGATGTTTCCTTCTCTTTAGGACCTTGCATCAGACCCCTTTGGGTGCACCGTTAGCTTTTACCCTGCAGAGCTTTCCATCATCGACCCACGATATGCAATTCTCTTTTCTTGGACTGAAAGTGTTTTCTAACCACAAATTGTGGGCTTATTACACCTGTCAGCAACACTATTGCATATTAATCTTCCATCTTCAGACTGGTGTTCAAAAGTTAACAAGTTAAACCTTGCAAACCTTCATTGGAGTAGAAGTGGATATAATTAAACATGGCACGTTGCTGTGAAAGCTGAGACATATGGGGGGTGATTTATTTAGAAATTAAAACCTTCCCAGGAGTTCACTAGTCTTCAGTAATTTTTCCTCCTTGACAAGGTTGGGCATTCAGTCAGCTGTGTTGTCTTTGATGATCTGTAAAGGGAGTTGAGTTGTTCCCTTTCCTTATGAAAGGTCTGCCAAGGGTATGATATAACAGTAGAGGTGAAATAATATAACTGTTCACATGCAAAATCCTGAGAAATAATAATTAAAGAAAAAAAAATCAGGAGAGGAGCATGTAGGTGTGGGTCTCAGGTGCACTCTGTGGGATGCAGTCTGCTTCAACCTGCTGCTGGTTTCTAGATGTTGTAGCTGCTGATAATAATGGCCAAATCTTGCCAGTCCTCCACAGCCGTTCACTGGTGAGGAGGTTCCTTGAGGCAGATACAGGTCCCATTCCTGCCTGCACTTCCAGACATTTATCCCATGCAAACTGCAGTGTCTGCAGGGCAGGGTAAGGCCTTGCTCAAGAAGGCTGCCCACCTCTTCTGAAGTGAGAGGGGATGTGGGTGACTGGTTTAGACTTTGGGCAGATAAAAGCAGTGCTGGATGACTGTCATAGTCCCATATGTGAAAAATGGTGTTTATTTTTTGCATAATATCACATGCAGTTATGAGTAGGAATTCACACTTTGCTGAGCTGTGGCAGTCAGTCTCCTTTGAAGTGCTTTGGAAAGGGAAGAATGCCCTGCAGAGGAATTGCTGCCTTAGCACTGGTCATACTGGAACTGAGTTGGGAAATGCTGGCAGCTGGAACAACGTGGCTTTCCTTGTCTTCCCACCTCTCCCCTCCCTTTTGCTGAATTTCTGGGTGTTCTTTCTGCATTGATAGTGGAAGCAGGTCCGACTGTGATGAAATAGTGTGCAAGAAGGCAGCAGACTGGGCAAAACATACAGATGAAAGAACCCCTCATGACTCTTGTTCTGAGCAGCTTCCCCAAAAACTTGCAGTGAGGTAGAGCTCACACTTCTTGTCACCCCACCTGGCTGGGGGCTCATCTGCTGCCACGGCTCCTGCTGCTGCTTTCGGTCTCCTCCTCGCTGTGACTCCCCCTCACCGTGGGAGCCTGAGAGCAGCAGCAGAGAGGGAAGTGGCTTTGGTGAGAACAGCTGGAGGAGGATGGGGTTTCTGGGTATGAGGAGGCAAACTTGTGTGTGACTCAGTTCTTGCAGTTCCAAATCGACTGCAAGATTTTACTATCCAAGCTCAGTCTTGCCCACTCCCAGTAAATCACACTGAGTGCCAAGCTGAGGTGTCCATCAGCCACTGGAGTCTGAAACACTCCTGGGAACTGCCAGCCTTAAACTCCAGAGCCGGAGAGGAGGTGGCCCAATATAAAAGATGTGGAACCTCAGGGGAAAAGAAAGCCATCCTCCTTGATTAGTCCTCCTCTGCTTTTTCAGAGCTATATTCCTGTTAACTCACAGACAGGGTATGGTAAGTGGGAGATTTTCTGCTGAGTCCCAGAGGTGTCCCAATAAAATGTGTGTGGATTCTGTTTAATTACCCTTATTGGGCAGAAGTGGTATGTGATTGAGGAAATTGAGGTTTATAGAGTCTTTCCTCACACCTGGGTCAGTATGCTCTGGTTTAATGAGCCTGTAGCTTTTTCAAGCTAATTGCATAATACTCTTTGGAGACCCTGTGAGGCTGACTTCACAAACACAAGTTTCAGTCAAAACAGATCTCAGAGGTGAGGGAACAGCCCCTTCCCAAGGCTGCCATGGTCGAATCTGTTCTCTGCTGTGGTTTTGCACAGCTGAGACACACAGAGAGCTCAGGGATGTTTTTCACTGACAATTCCTGGGGTTTGAAATAGAAATGATCCCACTCTGAGAAGTGTGATAACCTCAGATATTGGGCTTGGTGCCTCTGTGCCAATGAAGGCAATAACAGCTGTGTGACAGAGAGGAGACAGATGGGGGCTGAGTGCCCAGTAATGGTGGTGCTTGTGCTGTAGCAGCGTGAGAGGTGAGGTGAGCATCTCAAGGTTTGAATGCTCCGTGTTTTTACCACAGTCTTTAAAAGGTTTTTTAGTATAAACCAAGAGAAATGTTTCTTTTACTTGAGCACTGGGTTATCCGTTTGTTTCAACAAGTAATTTCCGTCTGTGTGACCCCCTTCCCCCACAACACACACATCCAGCGGGGCTGCCGCGCTCCAGGCGGGGCCGGGGCAGCAGAGGGCAGGAGAGGGCTGTGCACAGCCCCACATGTCCCCAGGTGAGGCACAGCTGGGAGGGCACAGCCCCACACGTGCCCAGGTGAGGCACAGCTGGGAGGGCACAGCCCCACACCTGCCCAGGTGAGGCACAGCTGGGAGGGCACAGCCCCACACCTGCCCAGGTGAGG